TACACACACAAACAAGACAGCGCAGGTAATGTGTAATTATGCATCAGTTTATGCATTTTTCAGAATTGCACAGTCCTTCCTAAATGTTTATGCCCTGTTGCTCTCACCCATTTTTTCTCTGCCTTACTATTCTTAAAAAAGCTCCCATGAACCAGGTTGCGGCATGGTGAGTGGGGAGACGCAATCTGGTGAGTTGGAGACTGGGGCATGTTCATTTGTAGTCTGGTCTGCATCAGTATTTCAAATGTTTAAACTGTTTACTTATATTGCAGTATTTTTACCTGTGCATACAGCTATGCAGAATCTTATAAACAAGACAGGCGTCTGTAAATTTGCTAGGTGTTCCAGCTCAGTGAATTATGTTTTTTTTAAGCAGAATGGTGATGAGTGTCTGGCTTCCTGTCAAGCACCTTAAGAGCCTGGTAGTATACTGACTGGACAGGTTTGAGTATTGAACAGGTGACTTGTGCAAAGCTAGTCAGACAAGCTAACATATGTTACATAATCATATGTGTGTGAGCTTCTTAAGTGGAACTGTCTGAGGACGCTAAATGAATTTCTGTGTAAACTGACAATAAAGCTGTATTGTATCTCATAGTATCGTATCCAGTGTTGGGTAAGGGTTACTTTAAAAGTAATCAAAGTATGTTACTGCGTTACTTTTTAAAAAAGTAACCAGTTACTTTACTGCGTTACTCCCTGAGTAAAGTAACTCAATTACTTTAAAAGTACTTCCAACGTTACTCCCTGAGAAAAGTAACTCAAGCACTTTTAAAGTACTTTTGAGTATTCTATATTTCCTATTGGGCAATGGACCACAGGGCGCTAAGCCTACATTTTTTTTGTCTCCACAATTAAAGTTATGGACCACTTGCCCTTCACTGAGATCCAATTCTCCCATCACAGCTGTCACTTTGACCACTAGAAACACAGAACGATCTGCTGCTGTAGACAACTGTATGACAACAACACCTCAGCGTTTTTAATATTTCCTCTAGGGATGTTACCACACAGAGTAAAAGGGGGAAATGATGGTGTCAAACAGCAGAGGCACTCAACCCGCTGAGTTAAAGGTAGGGTCTGGAGGATTTTCCAGTTGCTGTTTGTAAACACACATTCAAATTTGGCCCCTCCTATCAGGCTCAACTGCGCGCTGCCCCTACCCCTCCCGGCAGTTGGGTGTTACACAAAATGATTCAAAGCTCAATCCTCACACTACATCAAGCCATATATTAGCTAAACGTAAAGTTATTTGCATTGGTTGATAGTCGGAATTAGCCTCCACAATAAACTACGTAGAAATTACAGTTGTTGTTGATAAATTAGCAAACTAGCACAAGCTAACTGGCCTGTATTTGGGATTTACCTGTCCAACAGAAAGTAGGCCAACTCCGCGTCGCTGTACATCCCGAGCCACTCCTTCAATGTTCGAAAGCGGGTGAAAGCCACCCCGATATTCACACAAGTTTTGGCCCGTGCTTTATCGGCTCGGCGTTTTGCCTCACTCACATTTAATTTCCTTTTCTTCGTGGGTACGTCTGTATCCGCCATTTCTCCTGGGTGTACGGAAGAAGGCTTCACAGAAGAGATTCAGGCAAGGTTCGCGCTGGTGCACGCTCGGACACACTCGGGCACGGCACCTGCGCTCTCTCATTGGCTGGGGAAATCTCCACCCAGAAGTGGGTTCGAGCTCACAAAAACATCAAAATACAGTTAAAGGGCAGGAGCTCTGCAAACAGATTCACCACCACACATGAGTAGAAGCCCATAGGTGATGATTAAGCAGGATTTCATTTGTATACAGTATGTCTGTATTTTGTTTTGTTTGAAAATCCTCCAGATCCTACCTTTAACGTTACTGTCATTAGCATCAAGCTAGCAAACAATGGTACATCCTCACGGTTGGACATAAAGTAATAACAGTAACAAATAGAGGCGGGGCTTTTATTCACCACAACTGCAGAGGCTCCCAGCTTCATTTGAAACAAACTACATTATAGACTGTCCATTATTTATTAATCCCTCTGTGTGTTTATATATTTACTTTTTATCCGCTCCTGTTGTCTTTGTAAAGTTAACATATTGCACTGTCATTTCAAACTCAACACTTGTTTCAAATTAAAAGCCCCTTATAACCTCGGCTAGAGAATCCCTCCATTTTCTAAATAGGCTTTTACTCTGAAACATCTGTCAGAACTTCCTGTGGAAGATACAGTAGCTTGATAGTTTACTTATGGCACTTCAAATGTAGCTCCTGCCATCTGCTGACGCTTTTAAGTGACTACCAATCCGGAAATCCATCTGTAAAAAAAAAAAAAAAAAAAAACTTTTATTTTTTCCTTCCTTTACCTCTGGAGGCACAGCCCGGAGTTTTTCAACTAACGGAAGTGCAGGGGCCTCGGCGATCGCTCACGCCCTTCAGTTCAGCTATATATCACATTTTTCACGTCACTATATCACCGTGTAGACTAATCTGATGTTTGTTAAGTCTATAAACACAATGATTGAACAAACGTTACTATTTCTGTGTGCACGTTTTGTAGGCTAATTAATAACATGGTTATCATAGATTAGCTGGGCTAACCGTTAGCTGTTAACATTAGCCGTTAGCGTCTGTAATAACCATAGACTGTATAAAAATAAGGTAATGACTCAATAAACGGTCCGTGAATAAAATATTTTTTCCAGCGGATATCTTAGTTACAACATGATTGAGCTAGCAAAGTAGTTTTGTGTTGCTATGTGTGGTATTTATTCAGTTATGGGAAATCACGATGTCTAGAAAGCAGCAGTGGCTGCAGCTGACAGGGACAGTTAGCAAAGCTAACATCAGGACGTCATCTGTTAAAAGCCTCCTGTTGTCGGATACGACATGAAACTACTCCAGTTAGCTCAATCATGTTGTAACTAAGACATCCGCTGGAAAAAACTTTTTTTTTTCACGTTGACGGGACGGCGTTTTGGGTGAAGCGGTCGCTATGAACGCGGAGCTTGCTGTTTCTGTAGGTACACATTTCCTGGGGACACCTGCATGTCTCGGCCACGCCCCGTCCATTGTGATTGGCTAAAGCGCAGCATCGTTCAAACTCAAACCCCCCCCCCCCCCCCCCCCCCCTCACACAGGGCTGCTGACAGATCTACAATGTAAATTGCAGAATCTGTCTTGAGAGATTAGGTGACTACAACAACATGTCGGCTGGCACATGAACAAACACAGTTCTGACTCAAATAATAGTGAACTAAAAATAGGACAAGAATAACCCGATGTCATCACACACGCTGTGAAAGACAACCGGGGATAATTGGTGAGTACCAGCGTGTAGCGTGTACCAGGCATAATGCAAGTCCTGAGTCTGAAATATGTCTGTCAGCGAGTCCTCCTCCACCTACTTAGACTCCACCGTAGACAACGGCAGCATTTCTCCGACCACGTAGCGAGCCACAAGCTCCGTGGCTTCTTTCAGACTGATAGGTTTAACGTTATCTCCGTTATTAGAACCAAATGACAGCCGTTGCTATTTCGGAGCTGAAGGACCAGCGTTCTAAAAGTAACAGAAGTAACTGATGTCGTTTGAAAATGTAGTTAAGTATTTGATTACTCAAACAGCAATCTAACGCGTTACTCGTTACTGCAAAAAGTGATCAAAGTACTCTAACGCGTTACAAAGTAAATTACAAAGTAACGCGTTATACCCAACTCTGATCGTATCATTATACCCCCTCTCTCTTCCTATGTTTCCTGTAAACATATGTACTTTCACTGTCACATCAACACAAAATGCTCTCTCAAAACAAAACAAAACAAAACAAAACAAAACAAAACAGAATAAAAGAAAAGTAAAGAAAACAAAAACAAAAGATTTCTTTTATATTTGTAAATGACTTCCTGACAGTAGTGCAGAAAATGTACCTTTAATTAAATCACAACAAGTTTTGTCTTTATCATCCAACCACAAAATGCAACTACAGCTGTCTGAGGATGAACGAATTTCTGTGTAAATTGTAAATGGACTGAACTTGAATAGCACCTTTCTAGTCTTCCGACCAGTCAAAGCACTTTTACACTACAGGTCACATTCAGCTATTCACACATACATTCACACACTGGCGGCCGAGGCTACCATGCATGGTGCCACCTGCTACTCAGTAACCATTCACACGCACTGACACACTGATGGAACAGCCACCGGGGGCAAGTTGGGGTTCAGCATCTTTCCCAAGGATACTTTGACATGTGGACTGGAGGAACTGGGGATCAAACTGCTGATCTTCTGATTAATGGACAACCCGCTCTACCTATGAGCCACAAACTATAAAATGACAATAAATCTGTATTGTGTCATATTGCATTGTTTCATTTAGTTTCGTATCATATTGCATCGTATCATATCGTATCATATTGTATCATATCATTATACCCCTCTCTCTCTTCCTATGTTTTCTGTAAGCGTATCTTCTGTCACATTAACACAAAATGCTCACTAAAAACTAAACAAAAAAAATCCTCCATGTTTGTAAAACACCTCCTGACAATAGTGCAGAAAATGGTCTTTTAATTACATCACAACGATTTTTGGTTTTATCATCCAACCGCAAATGGCACTGTCTGTACATCCAGTTTCAAAGTAAAGGCCTGCTGCTGTTATACAATGTTTTATTGTGAAGGACAGCAGGAAGTGATGACTGCAGCAGATGAATGGAGTGGACCCGAGGCAGATACCAATCAGTGAATCCCTAATCTGCATTTCCAATGTTTTCCTACTTATTTACTCAGATTTTCTCCCTTAATTTGTCTGTATGTTTACAATAAAGAGTACAACATAAGATGGCCGTCAATCAAGAATGGTATAATCCTTGAAATGGGGAATGTGCTTGTTAAAATACCCTTGAACAGAACATGGACTTGCTTTTGATTTGTCAGTTATACCAATTTCATTTACCAGCATGCATCATACATTTGGCATTTGGATGTGTGTGTGTGTGTGTGTGTGTGTCCTCACCACGGTAGTAGAAGAGGCACATGTCGGACAGAACAAACCATCTCTTCTTCCACAGCTTCATGCCTGTGCTGTCCTGCAGGGGACAAAGGTCATAGACCATCAGTAAATCAGTCAAAGTGTTGTCATTACAGAAAACATTACACTCTCTCTGTCTCTCTTTTGCTCACAATCTCAGTCTCTTTCCTTTGATCTCCCCTCACTTCCCTTCTCTTGACAGTCTTGCTGTCTCTCCCTCTGGCTGCTTCTATTAACCAGCTTCTATCTCCCCCTCTGAGACAAATTGCTCTGTTTTATCTCTTTAAAACGCAGTAACAAATTTGCCTGTGTGATGCTCGGGGCGAAGGGCTATGCTTTGTTCTCTGTGCTGCTGCTCTGGTTCTTGTTTATACACTCCCTGGTGTTGTAATGACTGCAGCGACAATACTAACGCTTTTAGACCATCCGCTCACTGTTTGCAACGTGTGACATTTGGCCACAGGTCCTGAGTTTAGGAGCTTTGGGTACACACTGATTACATTGCTTCAGTGGAGGAGCACTTTGCCTGACAAGTCCGAGGAGAGGTGTGAAGTGAATCGATTCTCATCTTGATGTGAACACAGTGAGCAGCAGCACAGGTGCTGAGGCTTAGATGGAGATTATTGACAGTGGCTCTAACTGGGATCTGGAAGCTGAGTTGAATAGTGCTTGATGAGGCTGTCTTTAGGGAGTTGCAGAGTGGTCAGAGGTCCACAGACCAATTGAAAAATTGACCCACAGTAGACCTCTGTGGAGTGAAGAAAATTGCTCAACTTGCAAGGAACAGGAAGGAATAGGTTCGCTGATGTCCAGTTAAGCCCCGCAGCAGGAACACAGTCCTCCCATCAGGTTGTCCACACACTTTGGATGCGTCAGGATTCAATGTTTCCAACCCTACAATGTTTTACATTACTGCCAACCATTCCTCCAAGACCATAGAGTTTTATATTTTCTAACTGTGTTCCCCACCTTCCATGGCTTCCATAGATTTCTGTTCATTATTAAATCAAACCACACAGACACTTGAAACTTGCATAACCTAGTAAAGTGAAAACTATGCCATTAATATTTTTGCCTGAGTTTTGTTACTGTTTCAAATCACTTGGCAAATGCAACACCTTTAACCTACAAGTAGGTTTCAAATTTCTGTAAGTTGATTTTCATACTTCAGTTAAGAATAGATAGATAGATAGATAGATTAGCTTTATTAATCCCCACGGGGAAACTGATTTACCACCAGGGGTCCGTTTCACAAAAGTAGGATTCAGACATCCAGGATAAGTAAGTAAGCCTGGCTCAACCAATCCAAAACAACAGAGTTCAGGCTTAATTGGTTCCACAAACGCCAAGCCAGGATAAGTAGACACGGATTCATCAAGCCAGGTAAAACTAATCCTGGATAAGTTGCAGCACAAGGCTCCTTAAAAAGACCCTGTAATTGATCACAGATTCACTGATTCACCATGGCATCACGTGCAGCATACTTCTCCCCATCGGAGCAGGACATAATTATGGAGGCCTACGAAGAGGTAAAAGAACAAATTAAAAAGAAAGGAAACACTGCCACAGCCATCAAACAAAGAGAGAAAGCATGGCAAAGTATTGCAGACCGCCTGAATGCGTATGTATTGCACAAACACACACTCACTACCCTGCTGAATCCATCACAATTACAATCCAAATAGTTAATTAACATTCCCAAAAACGTAGTTATACTCTGATTATGAAACTGCGAGTGAAATGGACTGTAGATGTGAAATTATGTAAATGCAACTACATATTTGCTCCTCAGTTATTTCATTCACTATCTATGTGTGTGTGTGTGTGTTATTTATTTTGTCTTAATTAATTTATTATTCTTAGATTAAACATGACTGGGCCCAAACGAACTTGGCAACAAGTCAAGATCAAATATAAGAACATCCTGCAGAATGGTAAGTGACCTGACAAATACTATGCACGTGCGTACATTGTACCCAGAGGGTGCCTACTCACATATTGTCTGTACTTATAGCTGTTAAAAAAAAACCCACAAGCAAGGCACGGGTGGTGGGTGACCACCAGCTGACCTCACCCCTGCAGAGGACAGAGCCCTGGAACTTAACAGAGGCAGGCCTGTGTTAGAGGGGATCCCTGGGGGGACAGACTCAAATATAAATCCCTCCCAGGAAGATGCCTCCCTCTTCATTAAAGGTACATTCTTCCATCTTTACATGGGACATAACCAACCATTCATATTGAATCCATTTGGACTATCTGACTCTGTTTTACCTTGCAGTATCTGGAAACACCATCTCACTGTTGGAGCCTCCAACAGTGGCGTCACCAATACCAGAGGATGATGATCCAGTGAGTCCTCCATCAAAGTCATACTGTGTAGCCTGGCATGTCTCATCTGCTTGCTTTAATATGAATCCCTTTTAAATGTGATAGGGTGAAGGCACCAGTGGAGCAGCAGGAGCAGCAGATGAAGTCGATGAGGAGACTGTGTCTCTTGATTCAAGAAGGTTTGAGGTATCATGTCAAATGAAAGTACTCATTCAGTCTACAATGGTGAGAAGTCATCATCATCTGGAGCCCACACAAAATGTCATTTCTGTAACAGGACCCAGATGCTCTACAGGATGAAAGCCAGCCTTGCAACATAGTGAGTATTTATGGAAGTACATTCCCATCATGCAAAATTCCTGCTGTGCTGATTATTATGTGTTTACAGAACTCACAAGCTATCAGACAGCTGTATGCCACACATCTGAAACGGCAAATACAACTGGCCGATATGGACATTGAATACAAAAGAAGACAGATGGCAGACCTCTCCGTGGAGTCCGAAATTAAAAGGAGGAAACTGAGGAAACTGAACCTTGAAATAAAAAAACTTGAGCGGGAGGTGAGTTTCACCTTCAGTGTACACTGTATGCTGACTGTAACACAGACAATCTATTAATTATTATTCTCCTTTCCTCACCCAGCTTCAAGAAGAAGAATCTTAAATAAAAGATCAAAAGACCTTCTGTGGTGTTTGCTTGTTTAATTTGTGCACAGTTAGGTGGGATTGCAGATTGTATTCCACAGTCTGACATAATGCCTAGTGTCATCTCTATGGTAGCCCCAAGTGCTTTGATTGGTTAGAAGTCACACACCAAAGACTGGCTGTATTAAGACAAAAAGAAATGCACATAATGTACCTGAAATGCTATTTCCCAGATATCAAAACACTTTATGGCAGAAGTTGAGCAGTGTGAAGGTCAAACAGGGAGCATTTTAATCAATTATCTATTCTTTAAGGCAATAGGTATCCTGATAATTAGATAACCATTTGTAGCTTGTGAGAGTGCAAAGGTGTTCCTCATTAAATCTAGCGATCCAATAGCCTATATGAAGGCCCAAAATGGTGTGTTCCTTCCTGCTCAAACAATGGCGTGTCCATTCCTGCAAGAGGTTGTGGATGGAGAAGCTCTTGTGCTCAGGAGAGCCTTCAGGCGGGAGAGGGTCTTCAGGGACAGGGCGAACCCATTGGCCTTCCCTGATGACCACCTACACGAAAGATATAGGTTTTCTGCAGATGGCATCCGATATCTGTGCAGACTGCTGGGTCCCAGGATCCAACACCACACAGCACGGAGCCATGCGCTGAGTGTTGAGCAAATGGTGTGTGTGGCCTTGCGCTTCTTTGCAAGTGGGGGCTTCCTGTACTCAGTGGGGGATGCTGAAAACCTGGCCAAGGCCACAATTTGCCGTGTGGTGCGTAGTGTCTGTCTAGCCCTCAAATCACTATCAGGTGTCTTCATCTCCTTCCCTGGACACAGAAGACTCAGTGACATCAAAGAGGATTTTTATAGGATTGCAGGTAAGAGTACTGTAAGTACAAATTACAGGACAAGTGTTAAGTCATAGTAGGATACTTATTGCTTTGTGTTGCAGGTTTCCCCAATGTCATTGGTGCACTTGACTGCACCCATATCAGAATAAAATCCCCCTCAGGTGCCCATAAGGGAGATTTTGTGAACAGGAAATCCTTTCACAGCATTAATGTTCAGGTGAACATGACTTTATGACATTAATGAACATTGTACATTGCTCGTGATGTGCATTGAATGGTTTAATAGTCTACATCTTATAATTTCAGATGGTCTGCAATGCTGACTACCTGATCAGCAATGTTGTGGCAAAGTGGCCTGGCTCAGTCCATGACTCACGAATCTTTCGGTCCTCTGCAGTCTATCGGCGCCTGTCACAAGGTGAGCCACATGACCTCAATTAATAACCACTTTTAAAATCAAGGCTATGTCAAGAATGTCCCTCTATTGATAAGGCTGTGATGATGACATTTTGTATTCACAGGTGAATTCTCTGGTGTGCTGCTGGGGGACAGAGGCTATGCCTGCGAGCCTTTTTGCCTCACACCCTACGCAGACCCTCAGGAAGCACAGCGGGCATATAACGATGCCAATGCCAGGACAAGGGCTCGGATCGAGATGACCTTTGGCCTCCTGAAGGCACGCTTCCAGTGTCTGCACCATCTGAGACAGAGCATGCGATATTACTGTGGCCTGTGCTGTCCTCCACAATGTGGCCTGCCTGAGGAAGGAGAGGGCCCCCAGAGTGCCATCAGATGTGGACCGGGACAATCCGGCCATCTTCCCGGATGACGACAGTGGTCGGCTGATCAGGGACCAATACGTTTTGAATTATTTCAGTTAAAATGCATTCTGCACATTTAAGTTGAATATGGCCTGCAATAGCAGAGGAATTTGTGTTATTTTATATTAATTTGGCTTATTGTGCTGTGTACTGTGCGTATACAGGCCTGACATTTGTTCATTTGTTAAGTATGGATTTGTCCTGCATTTATTCCAGTGTGCAGACATGCAGGGTGTTTTATATACAGACCTTTGAGAATGTGTATTTATTCTTGTGATGAATAATATGCTTTGATTCAGTGCTTTCTATCTTGTAGAGCACTGTGTGACGTCACTTTTGAAAGGAACTGATGGATTACTTGCTTTGATTTATCCTATTCAATAAAGGAACATCATGTCATCATGTTACTGTATG